TTCAATATGGAATTCCTTTGCGCCACTAAATGTTTGTAGAATATTACGTTATTTAGGCTTCACTTCAAAAGGAGACATATCTCTTTAACTTTTTTTTACTATTAAATACTAATGTTTTATACATTTTCTTGTTGTACACGAGATCGAATGTTCTGAGAAATGGAATAATATCATTCCAAACAAAGTTTTGATGAGATATTGTTATTGCTAAATCTATAATTATATTATTTTAATCACTCAATCCTCGCTAACTCTTGACACTTTCATTACATGCTCTTCCATCCAGTTTCAATATGTTAAGTGATAAAAATTAAACAAGCAACGTCAATACATCGATAAACACATTCCATACCTCTTTCGTTTATAATTTTGTTTTAATTTGCACATAAAATTTAAGTTATGGTTACATGATATCCTCTTTATTGATTTATCACTAACTAATATCCTATCAAATTATTTATCATTAACTTTGATAATTAATAGGATTTGATCGATTACCATGTAAAATTTATACAAAGTTCGATGATCCTTAATACTGAGAGTCCTCTTTCCCACCTGCCCACATTCTTGTACACATACACACACATAAACACACATCCCATCTTTAACCTGTTGAGAGAGGTGATAATGAGTAACATTTTGACAAGTACATTGTATGACATAGGGGCTCTTGAAAATTTTTTTTACGATTTAAATTTTAAGAATCAAGGATTAAACAAGAGGCCCGGGGGCCACATCGTTCACCTGAGCACTATGGCTAGGAAAAAGCAGAAATCAGTTTAGTCTTGAAAGGTTGATAAGTTTAAATATAAAAGTGGTTCGGGGGGGGGGGGGGATTTGAACTAACTTGAATTTATAGTTCATAGGGATGCTTTTGAATTTATATGACAAATAATGGCTTTGCTGTTTTTAAGAAAATTTTTATTGATATATCCTTTGTATAACTATGATCCCCTGTTATGGCACCTCTATTCTCCTGGGGGATCATGAATTGAACAAATTTGAATCTACATTACCTGAGGATGCTTCCATTTAAATCTGACCAATCATGGCTTTGCTGTTCTTGAGAAGAAGATTTTTAAAGATTTTTACTATGTATTCCTATGTAAAACTGTGATCACCCATTGTGGCCCCATCCTACCCCCGGGGGTCAAGATTTGAACAAACTTGAATCTACACTATCTAAGAATGCTTCTATATAAATATGACCACTCATGGCTTTGCTGTTCTTGAGAAATAGATTTTTAAAGATTTTTACTATGTATTCCTATGTAAAATTTTGATTGTCCATTGTGGCCCCAGTCATGATGTAAACAACTTGAATCTACACTACCCGAGGATGCTTCCACATAAGTTTCATATTTTAAAGCACAGTGGTTCTTGAGAAGAAGATTTTTTAATGATGCCATTAATTTTTCATAATTATCTCCCCTTGGAAAGAAGTGTGGCCCTTCATTTCAATAAACTTGAATTCTCTTTACCCAAAGATACTTTTTGGCAAATTTGTTTCAAATTGGCCCGGTGGTTCTGAAGAAGAAGTCGAAAATGTGAAAAGTTTACAGACGGACAGACAGACGGACGGACTTCAGACAAAATGTGATCAGAAAAGCTCACTTGAGCCTCTGCTCAGGTGAGCTAAAAAAAACTTTATGATCTTAAATCGATGAAATATTATGGTTTATCGATGTAGGTTTTACAACTGGCTGTACAAGAGCATCTTATGAGGTTTTGATTCAGTAATCCAAATTTTCGGCCCAAACATCTCTCACTCATCACAATATTACAACAACTTCAAAAAATTCAATCATCTACTCGAAAGAAAATAGATAAAAATTAGATCCAATCATTGTGAGCAATGAGTGCGTCTTCCGTCCGATATTTGATAAAATGAGATATGTTATTTGTTCAGAAATAATGATATAAGAAAATATTTCCTATATTTCAAACAAATGAACATATTTGCTTCATTCATGTGTAATAGAATATTGATCTTTAAAAAGTTGTAGATTGAAAATTTTTGACCTCAAAGAGCCCCTAATTTGAGGTGTCACTCCTTTTTTTTCTTGATAACACATTTAAAGATTTCATTATGTTAAAGACACATTTTGTTCAACAACTAATTAGAAATTAATTTTGTTAGATCATTATTTACACTGAATTGTCTATGGATTTTTTTTCGTTTGCCCGATCATGACAAGGAGCACATGACGGGTATGACCAGTCGACAGGGGATTCTAATTCCTCCATGGCACCTGATCCCAACTCTGATGTTTTTATTTGCTCTCCCGATTTGTATTGTTTCATTGGAGTTTTGCGCTTGATTAGTGTTCGTTATTTTTAAATTTCATTTCAATTCTGAGATATATGGAAAAAGAAATCTTTAGGGTCCGTCCCTTTAACTCCTTAACAGGGACGTTTAACAAAATTTGAAAGATTGCATATAGCGAGATATAAAGCGTCAAACATTTAGCATTCTAGCCCCTTTTTGCCCCTTGTTACGTAATATATTATTAAAATTTTAAATTACACATCTTTGCAGATTGTAGAGATGAAGATTTTTGCTTCAGCAATGTATAACAAAATATTGATAGTTAAAGAGTTGAAAATGAAATTCTTGAGACCCCTCTGAGACCCTAATTTGAGGGGTCAGTCCCTTTTTCTTGATATCAAATGAAATATCTTGAAATTTTAAACACTTTTTGTTCAATAGATACTATTTTTTTTCCGTTTCGAGATATGTAGAATAGAATTTTTCAAGGGCCAGCCCTTCAAGTCCCTAGTGGGACCGTTTTATAGATTATGAAAGATTGCATATTGTTTAGAACATTATTCTGAACATCTTTTGATCAATATTACTTTTCAAAATATTTCCCCTTTTATTTAGTAAAGTGTCAAAGATTTACCATTTTGGCCCCTTGTAGCCCTCAATTACGTAAAATATTATCAAAATTTTATAATATCCTGTTGCAGACTCTTAAGATGAACATTGTTCCTTCAGAATGTATAACAGAATAGTGATCATTTAAGAGTAATATATCAAAGTTTTTTTGGCCCGTCTAAGCCTTTGACTTGAAGAGTCAGTCCTTTTTTCTTGATATCATATTAAAGATCGTTTCATTCTGCACAATTTTTTTCAATATTTTTTATCAAAATACCCATACTTAAAAAGATATGATAAAAAATGTGTCAAGAATTTACTCATGATTCGTGTCCTAAATTTCGACCCTTACCGACCTTCCATACTAGGAACTTCCGAAAAATTGGAAAACCCAGATGCACAGGGGTAACATGTCCTCTATAATCTGTGAAAATGTCAACTTTCTAGCTTAAACCGTTTTGAGTTCTAGACCAGACAAAAAGTCGATCGAAAAATTAATTCAAGGGCGAAAACTTCTGATCGGAAGTGAATTTTGAGGATCATCTTCTGATAAGAATGCATTATCCCAGAAAATTTCAAGAAAATCGATCTAACAGTTCTAAAAAAATCTGCGCAGAAATTGTAAAGAAAGAGCGGAATAATAATAATTAATGTGAAAAAGAAGCAATACAAAAATAGAAGGGTGTTTAGCTGAAAACGGAAGACCTTCAATATCATTTTGAGATTCAAGAGCAGTTACATATTGTTTGGTTTCATATTGATATTACCGTAATGTTCAAAAATGGGTAATGAGCATATGTAACAATTCATCACAGAAATTACACAACAAATAAAAAATTACAAAAAATAAAAATCTTATTAATATTGATCTTGGATGAATATTTTGAAACTGTTCTGATAACACTACAGAATAAAATACAACTTTTATCTAACACCTAAATTACATGACAAACGGATGTATTCAGTTTTTCCATCAACTTTCCCTATCTATGTAGTATTATTCTACAATTGCCTACATATGATGTTTTTGTCTTCCCATGGAATTGATACTTTAGAGTACGTTCCGAGTGTATTCAATTTTTAAATAAAGGCAGGCGACTGAAAACAAGATGTTACATGTACAGGGTTTTCAAACATCTCATTTAAAGTCAGCATTTTGCAAATTTTATGGTTGTGATTATGACCTTGTTTGCAAATACAACCAATTATTGGGTCGTATTTTGACTGACAAGCTATCCACCGAACTGATATGTTTTCAACAAATATTGCAAGGCTATTTTTTAAATATTAATTTTGCCTACAGATTTTTCTATCGACCTGATCAATAAAGAGGGCTCACGTCGGGCAACTCATCCCACCTCATGTGTTTCCACAGGTCCGTGATTTCCCATGTTTACGATTACATGTAGTATTTTTTACTAGATTTACGAGACCGATTTCTATTAGTTATCCCAACCTCTTACATTCTCAAATTCATGGAGATTTACTGATCTAAATTTTTTTTCCGGAAAAGTATTCCATTCAGCTTTGTCCTTAAAAGATTTTGAGAAGTATATAAATAAATAGGTGATGAAAGACTCAAAATGATGGATCCTTCCCTCATGGAATCTAACTTTAATGAGGATGTAGTCACATTCTACACAGATCGGACAAAGATCAGCAGTACATATTTCTCTAGGAGAAATAATGAGTTTGTAGAAAGAATATTATCACCAAGTCGAAGATCTCTTTTATCTAATGATGAATAAAAAATAAAAGTAAGAAAGTGTACTTTTCAATATATGATTTCCTTTGAGGGGTAAACAACAAGATAAGGAGAAAGAACAACGAGTATGACGATATTTGGATTTCTTTATTTTAAAGACAGATAAATGAAAAGAAATATAGGCGTTAAATAAAGGACAGTATTAAAAAGTCAGACTTAGTGAGACAGATATCAAATATCACCAACACATCATACCATTTAAAATATACACCAAAAATGCTTAAATATAATGTAAAGATTTCTTAAGTTACAAAAAATGAATAGTGATTATTTACAGTGAAAAAAGTAAAATATTACCACACAGTATCTAATAATTGTCCATTCAATGAGTTTTAAAAAACTTAACGAAACACAAAAGTATCGATTTATTATCCATTCCAGCGTATATTATTGAAAAAATTTTGATTAAATTGATTGCCAGTGTTAAATCCTGGGAACAGTCTATTTCTATCTATTCGCTGCCGTGGATTTTGAGTTGTCCTTACTACCCTAGGGGAAGCTGTTGGTCTCTGTAACTTTCGTCTGCTTCTATCACTCACATCGAGACCTCTTCCCAACAAAGTATTTGCAGTATTACTTCCTGAAATCTGACGTCTTAATGGAAAATCATTCATAATTCCTGACTGCATGCGAGCAAGCAAATTCTGTCTTCTTCGGAAATTCCGCATTCTAGCCGCTCTCATACGAGCTAGATTTTTTCGAAGACCTGCAACTTGTGCTGCTGTCAATTTTGGTCTAGCTGTAGTGACATCCACATTCACAGGACTTTCCGTTGTAGTTATTCCAGGGCTTTTGGAAACACTTTTTATTCTCAATATCCCTCTTCTACCCTGATTTGGAAGATCCTCGAGCTTTTTTCGATCTCGGAAAAATGTTGCTTGAAAAGAAACCCTGGGTGTCGGCTGTATGGATAATGACGATTCCATCAGTGGTCTTGTATCAATGGTTAGATACATGATAGGTTCGTGTGTAACGGTGTACACAGATATCGATTGGGTCTTATGGTAAGATTCTGTACTTGTTTTTGTGTAAAATTCTTCAAATGAAGAACTTGGATAAAGAGCTGTCGATTTTTTCTCGTGTTTTCGTACTAATAATGTATCAGGACTTGTTGTTCTCCACTTAGGTGGTCCTTCGATATTTTCCATCTCATACTGCGATGAAGAACTGAATAAATGGGTTGATTTGGTTGGTTTTATATCGAGAGCATCCCAAGGAATGTTTGTTTCAAATACTCCAATGTCCTCACTACGAAGTGGTTTTATAGTTGAAGAGTCTAATGCTAATGTTAAAACAGATGTAGATCCATATGACAATGAAGAACGAGATGAATATATAATGGAACTTTCTCGCAAGAAATGAAATGAAATTGGAACTGTGTCATTCTTTGCTGAAGTTTTCACGTAACTGTTATGTTGATTGGTATGCAGGACCTGGTCTCTATTCCAGTTCTGATCTGGGAAAGTCAAAGTTGCTATATCCATCGGAAATGCTAAAGTATTAAGAGATAAGGACATGTCATTACTTAATACACTTTTGTCTGGCTTAAGAATGCTTTCAATATTTAAACCAGACGAAGACGGAATAAGTGAACCCGGTATCGATGTTGCGTTTGCCTCTTTCATACTTAATATACTGCTTTCAAATGTGATGATTTTTGTTCCTTGCTTCTCGTGCGTTTCCTGATGCATGAAACCAGCAGTCTTAGTAGGATTTATCAATATCTTTGAAGAAAAATTATCCATTGTATTTAATTTCTCTTGGAGAACTGATGATAATTTTGGCATCGATGTACTTTTATGCAATGTGAATGAGGACGGTTTGGGCGATGATATTGGCAATGATACTGGAGGATATTGTACTGAGAACTTAGCTATGCTTGGAAGAATGGAAAACTGAATGTTTGAAGGTTTGTTTTCAATAAAATAGTTTTCATCTGTTTCTGGTGATTGAACACCCTGAGAAACCAAAGTAGAATCCTTTGTGATGTCAAGATATACAGGAAAATAAATACTCTTGCTTGGTAGTTCACCATTTTGTCTTCCATCCTGACTAACAGATGGTTTTTTAGGTGATAATGTACTAAGAGATGAAATGATAGATGTTTTACCAAGCTGAAGTGAGGTCTCCAAGAATGGAATCAATTTTTCTTCAAAGGAAGGCATTGTACTTTCCGTTTTATTGATTGAAAAATGCCTTTGAGGAGGAACATTTGAGGATTTCGTCAAAGGGGTCACTACTTCAAATCCATTTACCTGATGAGATTTGTGATGGTTCGTCGATAACGAGCTGTCAAGGGCAAGTTGAGCTGACATAATAGGTAACTTTAGCAATGTATGGTCGATAAGCCTTTGCTCTGGAAATGATAATTGTTGTGGAAATATAGAGTCCTCTAAAACAAACCCCTTGTTTGAACTATGTAAACTGACTGAAGAATCTTCCATCTCAGCGAAACTAGAAGAATAAATCATAGATGACTGTATTGTAGACAGGTCTTGTGTTGCGTGAGTTGGCCGTTCTACTAATCCAGACATTGAACTTGTTACCTCAACTGACTGAATGTTTTCTGTCTTTAAAGAGGGTGTCACAATCAGTATGTTTTGTGAATAATTGTTGTTTTGATGTGGATGGAAACCAACCATTTGCTCGTATTTCGTCGAATACGATGTGGAAGAAGTAGATGATATAACAATTACTTCTTTGGTAGCCGGGTATGAATTTGTGGTTGCTTCCAAAACATTATTTGGAAAAGTTTTTGTCCCTTCAAGGCTTTTCAAACGATTTTCTGAAAAACCTTGTAGAGGTTCCTGAGAACCGATCCCAGAAACGGTAGAAGAAAAACTTCTTAAATTTTCATAGGTCAATGAAATACTTTTTGTAGGTGTTATCAAAGAATAAGGTTTGGTTCTATAAGATTTTTCGACAACCTGCTCCATTTTTGTTTGGCTAACTTGTTTTTGTTCATCATTGCTAGTCTTAGTATGAGTATCACCTGTATTGCTCAAAGTCCAATTATTCTCTGGAGATATGTGAGCATCAAATGTTAATCCTTCAAAATCAAGTTTTTCAATCCCTTGAAACAATTCATTTGTTGACATTATAGAATCTGGCAGGGAGCTTGGAAAATTGGAATTATTATGCGGCTCATATTCATCATGCGTGTGTAAATTTGTAATATCATACAACTGACTTGTCTTATTAAGCACTTGTTTCGCAGTTTCATTTTTGTTGGGTAAATCTAAAGACAGCCCATCAAAATTAAAAGTTGATTCTTCTGTTAATGTTAATTCTGATCCAATCGTTTGCTTTGTGAAATGCATTGGGGCACGACTTAAACCAAACAATTCATTATGTTGTTTTTCAGTATGTGGAAAGCTATGAGCAGTGTGATCATGAGTGTGAAAGTACGGTTTTGAAGTTGTTGATAACCTAGATCCAAAATTCCACAGAAAGTCCTGATAAAGATCTTGCAGTGAAGTAGTCGTTTTAGTGGCTGCAATTGAAGTAGAATCAACAGAGGATGTATCTTTGGTCGTTACTTTCGGAGTTGACTCCATTGATCCAGGACTACCTCTTACTGATGCTGTTGTTGCTGTTGTTACACTCTGATCATTAATTTTATCTCCTAGTTTTGAAGGTGTATCCAATTCCAAACTTTGCAGCGAAGGTGTAGTCGAAGTTGTTACTGCTGAAAAAAATAGTTCTTTATGTGCATTTGTCATTGTAAATAGCTGAGTGACTTCGCTAGGATCAATGCTAGCAGCTGTTGTTGAAATAAAGCTTGAAACTGTCATCCTATACTGTTTTGTAAGATTTAGTGTTTCTAATTCTTTGCTGACGGATCTTGTTTCTTCCAGTTTCCACCAATCATTCAAATATGTATTATAATAGGAGTCATTGAGAGGATCACTAGACTTTGTTGACAAAGGATTTCCATTAGCCACTGACTTTGTTGTATTAGTAATGTCTGTAATATTTAATGTTCTATCATCTGAAAAATTATTTGTTCTGTTCGAATTGGTGTCATTATGGTCCAATGACACATTTTTTATCATAATTTCTCCTTTTGCCTTTGAATTTGCTTTCAGAAACGGTAATCCAGTGAAATTAAATGTATCATTTGTATCCAAGTTCAGGTCAAATTTATCATGATTAGTATGCTCAAATGAAGAAATATCTTTGCCATCTACAACTGATTTTGACGTGGAAGTTACATGGTCTAACTTACGTAGACTGATTTCACCAAGGTGTTGTTTCAGGTGCTCGAAGTCATTTACCAGATGATTTTGATTTTCAGTTGGGTCTTTTGTCACTCCAAGTTCCAAATCAAAGTTTTGAATCAAATCTTTTACAGTTTTATTCAGATGAGATAGAAATGCTACGTCATCAATACTTGTGTGATCCGGAAGTTCCATTTCTGTTGTTGTTCTTATGTCCGCAGTAGAATCAGTTGTTATTTTATCTTTAGATTCTACACGTTCCTGTGTCTCAATGGCTGCCATGTGCTCGTCCTTTACAGTTGTTGGTTTTGGACTAGCAGTTGTGTTTGCGTTTGTCTTGGTAACAGTATCACGCGACGTTGTCGAGGCTGTTACACCAGAAAGAGGCTTCGTTGTTGTCAATATTATCTCCACTGTGGTTGACTGTTTGTCGTCCTTCTTGTAGATGCTGACGTCATCTGTGTTGGACACAACACCGAGACCAATATCTATATCTTTGATGTTCTTTAACACATTTTGCTTGATTTTTTCGATTTCCTCTTGCATGAGCTTATCTGTCGCTGGGACTTTGAAATTTACTTTCATATGACCATCCCTGTAAAACAAATTTCAGTGCTAGAATAATTTTTTTCTAAAAGTCGTATACGTGTACATTCGAATAAAATGAGAATATTTTAAGTCTTTATTATAATATTTACCATTTAATTTATGTAACACATAAATGTGCTTTCTTAGAATAAATGAAAACAGAATACTTACTGGATCGAAAGGGACACGGAACAGTCTTGCACTGGACGATTCTCGTTTGCATCTAATTTGAATAAATTTTTCATCTGTAAATGAGAGGATTTACGTGTGATTAGAAAGTAATAAATAAGGGACATAAGGTGCAATATATAATGTACTTTTCTTGACCAAATTGAACTTTGAGAGGAAAGATCTCATTGACTATTAAAACCAATCCAGTTTGTCTTGTTAAATGCTCAAATCTCTGAAAATTAAACTGTTACTAAATACCGAAAACTAATTCCAATGTCGGTCCTTAAACGTTTGTTATAATAATAAGTCAGACCCATTGAACGTAGACGGGGGGGGGGTCTGCCCCCTCCTTTTTCTGATTATAGTATTTTGCTATAGTAAATTTTCAGTTAGATGCTGGTTTCTGCCCCCCCCCCCCTGCCCCCGGATTTTGTCCATTGTCCCGGTAAGGTCGCTGTAAGGTCGAGCACTGGAAATATAACAGGATTTGGACAGTTAGGGAGGATTTTTGGTGTCCACGTTTTGTTTTATTTTATTTATTTAATTTTTTTTGTTGGTTTTTTTTTTTTTTTTTTTTGGGGGGGGGGGGGGGGCATGTCAGATTATTTTTGGAGGTTAACCCCCCACCCCCCTCCCACACACACACTTTTGAAACCGTTTCTAGGAGCCTGAAACATTACAGGTATAAGCATATTATGAGAATGTACTAAGAGATAGTTTCATTTTCCACAAATTACTGTACACGCTTAACTGTTAATTTGAATCATTCTTCAACAATAAGAATTAATAAAATAAACGAAATACTTAGTATGTACTTTCATATTGCATTTTCTTTGTTTCATTAAGCTTTAGCAGTCCTGTGTTGCCAGACGGGAGAAGCCATGCATATGACAATAAAAGATGAAAAACATGCACTAAAAATGTCTGTGTGTAATGATTCGATATGTGTTAAGGAGTTCTACGGTGATTAAATGTGTATTTTCTATCCCAAAGTCTCGGGGGGAAACACACAGAACTTGAAAAAAATCATTGAATCTACCAAACATGTGAGTTCATATTTTTTTTTTCTAAAATGACATACATGTATGTTTTAAACCTCTTCTTTTTATTCCAAACTCATTTTTCCCAAAACTTACCAAGCCACACAACTCCCTGGACAGTACCCCCTCCTTACTGGACAGCATGTCCTTTGATAAATCGTCGTCTGCAACTATATAACAATGAAGAAAAATTATTAATTTAGTTTGTCGTATCTTCTTCTTTTTTTTTCGATGTGTAAATTAATTTAAAATCCTTTTTCTACAAAGATCTAGAAGAAACTCACATTTCGATGACGTATGCGATGAACCATGTGGTTGGGATACTATAAATAAAACATGTATATATTTATTGCTCAAAGAATAAAATCAATGATACAGTAATAATTATGGTCCAATAAATGAGCAATATATAATAATGAGTTTTTCCTTAGAATATAAACATATTGTATATATTATACATAAACATATATAGTTTTAGCTTATGATTTCGTGTTTTGAATTCACTGTCAAGTATTTAGATTCTATTTTGGCATAAAATAATTAATAAGCTAATTTTTCTCTCTTTTTTTCACTTCAAGGTTATGAAAAGAATATTTCAACGTAGGATGTGTTCACATTATAACTGTAAAAAATAGTCCTTTTTCATGCGGGAATTTTAAAAATGCTAATAATACTTTTTTTTTAAAGTACTTCCAAATTACGAGAACACATCGAAATTCCTTCAAAGGGCGCATATTAGACCAATCAAATACATAAATTATAAAAAGGGACGACTAAACCTACACACATAACATTCTTCTTAGGATGGTCCTGGAATTACCACTTACAGGTATATCAAACTATTTTTATACTAGGTTAATTACACACCTTATGCCACCTGTGCGCAGGTGTGACTTTTATTTGAAGAGACAATTGTATAGTACGATATCAAAATAAATTTTCAATCAGTTCGAGACTATGCAATATGAAAAAATGAGTTTTAAAAAAAGAGTGTAAAGGGTTTCAAGAAGTAAATAAATCGCCAGGGATTAATGTAATTAATGATCTATACGTCATAAGTATCCCGGGGCTCTATGAACGACACGTGGCGCCAAGCATTTAGATTTTATTGTAAATGCATTTTGCATACATGCGTATATTTGCATTTTTTTGTTTACATTATTCGGGATCCTTTTTGCTATTCTATAATCACATATTACTTCAATCGAAAGTTATGGGAAATATTTCCAAAAATAACGATTAACATTTCTCCACGTTTCAAAGATACATGTAACAAACAAGTAATGAAAAATAAGTTTTCAAATCCAATTCTGGATAGTACCTGTACATATCTATCTGAACAGTTAAAATATAGCCTGCTTTCTATGATTAAATAATTGTACATATTTCAATCTTACTTCAAGTTGGTTTTCTATACAGTTTGGGAGAACTATTGGGTCTTTAATGTCAAGTATATGTAAATAATGATACAATAAAATACTGGTAATATTTCAGTTACTTTGGTTTGCTTGCAAATGTGACCACTGATTACTGAAAATAAACATGTTTACAGTGGGAACGCATACCACAAAGACTTCGTGTCAAACTGGCCCGAGCCGAGGCTGGTTTGATTACCGTTGATCAAGACATCGATGACTGGAATGATTGAACAAAAGAATTAATCTGGAGTCGTAACGAGAGAATAAGTGTTTGTTCCTTCCGGCTAGTCTACATATTTGTGTGGCTAATAGAGCTTTGTCCAATGTCTTTGTCGTGATGAAAATGATATATATTTTTTTGTATAAATTGATTCATGTATAAACTTTAAAGCTATGAACTGTATGGTTCTTGATTATAAACAATACAATACACGAACTTACGTACAGAGAGAGAGAGAAGGGAGAGAGATTTTCCTCCTGCTGGTTTATTATTACCTAATTTATATTAAGGCCCGGTAAATGAAACATTAAAGATGCACTATATGCAGTCCAAAAACTCCTGTGAAATTGTTCACTCTTGTAATTTACATGTTTAAAGATTTTATATTTCCATATATAGGGAAATATTTTAAGTGAAACCAGATCATTACTTTAGCTGCCTTTAAAAAAATTAAACTGTTTTTACATAAAACAAACTACAAAACAATAATTATTTTGACTAGATGCTCCTCCATAAAATAAAAGGATGAAAGCTAAAATTAAGCTGAATGTGTATTTATAATAACACCAATAAAACAGACTACCATGCATAGGAATTTTATATTCAGATGGAAACTCACGCAACACTGCCAATGTAACAGCAACAGCAACTACCCCCGCCACACTGAACAGCAACACGGTTCCTAAAAACACTCGCATGTTGCAGGTCTTTCCCGAGCCTTGCCCCGCCACTCTCCCTGCGTCCTGCATGGAATATTGGCTAACACTCCTACCCCTCCCAATGTCATCCGGGTGGAGGTAGAATTTATAGAAGGGTTCCGAGGGAGGTTCCTGAAAGGCTGTTTCGTAGCGTCCATTTTCATGAATGTCTGCATCTACTCCGTTATCCAGATGAAAGAGGGCAGTCAGACGAGGCCACTGCAATTTTTAACCTTGTCTTAAATTTGTATCGTTGTTATTTTTTTTCAATATGGGCCTAAATTTAAGAATTCGAAAAGAAAATAAGTACCTTTCTGAATACTTTTCAATAAAATAAACTGTAGGTTATATTATATGAAGCTACAGTAGCTATCATGAAATACTTAATTTTGAAATAGTTAAACATAATTATCTAGCATCCTTGAGTAATATAAGATCCTCGCAAATGAATCCACAAAGAAAACATTAGTTAATACTACCTTTTCACTGTAGCGGCTAGTCCAAGTCATCTTGAAAACATAAATTTTCAATAAATATAACACACCCTAAATCAAATCCACGTTATATCATTACCGTCTGGTTTGTACATCTCCTGACAACATTCAGATGTATTGTCAGTGACCAGGGTCACACTTAGAATTGACAGGCCACTCATGTTTTACGTTCCCCATGATAAGCCATGATAGAGATCCGAAAGGCGCGTGTAGTGACCCTCAAAAAACACAATACCAAGAAAAAATATACACCTGCCGAGTGTAGGACGTGTTGGCTTGATCATGCATGCTTAATTGATATGCTCTTAATGTGATGATTTTATAGTTTGATTAATTTTCCATAAGATCTGATATCAAAGACACTTTTTTTTCAGTCGAAGTAAGTGATGGCACGAAAAAGATCCCTCACTGCTCAATGGCCCTCAATGCCGAGTATAGGTCTAAATTTGCAGTCCTCCACCGGCAGGTGGTGGTATCTCGATATGAGTGTAAAATTCTCGAGAGGGACTTTAAACAACAACAACAACAATTTAATTTTCTATCTGTAGGAAACAGATTTTTGCTTTGAGAAACTCAAGCAAGCATGAAAACGACTGGAATAGTTATAAATTTTTTCAATGCCTACATGTGTTTGGAAATTACAGGCTATACATGTATATATTCACCATTCCAACTAACCTAAATTTTACAACACAAAACATATTTCCGGCAAAAAACTGATTTTTATTGGGCATTTTCTTAACAGGGTTACAATCATTTGAAATCGTCAATATTTTCGAAAAAATCAGATTAGAAGCGGATATTTAAGCAAATAAATAAATAAATAAATATTAATTAAATAAATAAAACACAAAACAAACAAACAATTAAAAACACACACACATACAAACAAAACAAACAAGGAAGATAAAAATAAAATCATTGAGTCCATTAAAAAATATGAAAAAAAAAATTACAGTGATAATTATAGGACTGGTAATAAATTATTCCTACAAAGATGAAAACCCATCTTAAAGTTCTACAAGGGGCTGGGGTGTTGATTATAATTTATTTACGTTTAAAACATTAAAGTATTCAAATTGGATTTCTTTGTATGCCTTTTTAATAGGAAATTCAAATTATTTTATCCTTAAGGTAGAGACGGATAGCAATCATGTGATAGATGGAATCCGCATATTAGCGCGTGCTGTTTTTCCGGATTCCGCAACGCCGCCAAATAATAATCTTCATTTACACATTATTGTCTATGCTACAAGATGGCCGACGAAGCAGTCTAGATTTCCTCGTTTAAAAGACAAAGTTTCCATACATATTTAATCTTGACGGTCCTCGAAATTGAAGCACCTTAATAAGAATCGAAATGAAAATGAGACTGAAACCGACCATGAACATAATTTTGGTAAAACTACTCCTTGTCGACTGCAGCACCACGTGGGTGCCGGTATCTGTGTCTGATGTGGTTTTGAATATAGACATTAACTGATTAAAGGCCATGACCCTGCAGATGTTCATTGGTATGATGGAAGAAGTATAAATTTTGCAGAACAAATGTTTGCAGTGTCCGTTTCAGATACATCAGGTGAATATTACGACTATGGTGCATGTTTGTTTAACAATTGTTTAACGTACAGGTCTGGTACAATCACTAGATTTTAGCTTGAATTACCTACATAGGTTTATTTACCTAATTAAAGTAGTTTTATTTAGTTAAAAAGTCAAACTTATTTTATGACCAGACTCTTACTTCTTGAATGAAATAACAAGATCAGACATTTCTGGTGAACATGATAAAGGCCGGATTGGTAATTATTTAGCACAATGTGAAGTAATCATACTTTTCTGTGCCTAAACGCACACCAGGTTGTGTATAGTTACTCAAACAATAGAAATACATATTTTGCTTAAAGCGTTCAAACACAGAAATGTGTAAACTTTCTCTGCTTTGGATCGCTTTTTAAATATTAATCCCTTGTATAAATAATCATGATAATAGTGGACATTTACTTGCAATTCTAGATCTTTTGTCTTTTTGAAATAATATTACAAAGAATTTACTCATTTTCTGTGAAATATTTTGATGAATTCTTTGATAATCTCTCTTAGTCACCATATTCTTCAAAAGTGCATCCTTTGTAAAGGAAGGGGGTAGGGTAGGGTGTAAGATAATAAACTTGCGCCAGGTTGAAATTAAACCCCATTATGTAGTATGATTTTTTTCTGAAATTTAAGATACCTATTAACTAACTATAATATGCAATAAAAAAAGAAATTTGATGGGTAATTTTTTTCACAGTGGAAGCAGAAGTGTGAGTCTTTGAGCAATGAATAGGCAATATTTTAACGTAATTTGACCATGCGTCTTGGTGAATGTAATTCTGTTTTTCGTTTACAATGCTTGATACTTTTAAGATTGATGTCAAATATTAATTCATATAGACAGATGTTTGAATTCATATAAGACAAATGATAATTAATATATCAATAAAAATTTTATAGCCCTTTTCATTTCTTCTTCTTATATTATTTTACCCTGCTTTTTCAGCTCTTCGGTGGGTGATGAAGGCTATATTAAAATTATCAAATTTCTCTTAAACTAGCCCGATGACCTACCTTGAATTTTTAATATGATTTAGAACAAAGACTCAACACAAACATATATAAAATTTTGAAAATTTCAATGGTTAGTTTTTTTGTTGACAACCTATCAATCTCTACCTTAAATTTCATAACAATAAATACTAGTACTGGTCTTCCTATTCACTATAGATAAAATTTACGTTAAATTAGATTGTAACCGATCTTAACTCATTAACTGCCACCAAGTCATTAACAAAATTTATACTAAAATCTTGTAAAATGCGAAAATAAACTCAATAGATAAACTATGGTTAAATGAAACTATTTAGGCGCCTCTACTACATCATAATGTGTCAGCAAACCCCAGTGATCACTTGGAAATTCCTCGATAGAACTAATCTCTTCTAACCCAACGAATTCAAAATACACTGGATTAACAGTTCTTGGATTTGAATCCCTCATGTAGATTCTGTCAAATCTTTTCTGGGCCGGAAAACGTGGATTGTTTGGACCGAAGTCAATGTTTGTGTTGATTGCCATATCCCAGGTGTACCGACATTCCGGACGAGATCCTGTGGCCTCCCAAACGTCACAGATCCCCTGTGGGACGCCTCCCAATTCTGTGAGCTGCCGGGAAAACAGAGCAATGCTTTTTACGATTGGAATTACATATAAGAGCATGAAAATTATCGAATATGAAAGAAAACAAGAGGCCCAAGGGTTTTAACGGTCATTTCAGTATAATACAACCCTGTAAAGGGTCTATAGAAAGGCAATTTAATAAGTATATATAAACAAAAACTGATTAATGAAGAAATGTTGCCCCAAAACAAGAGTAATAGGATAATAAGGAATCAAGAATTTAGTCTGGTTCTCAGCAACAACTCATTAAATTGATCTATTGACTTGCTTATACAGGCACGTAGTATTGTTTTTGAAAGTGTGAGGGCCAGCCAGGAAAAAAGACAACTTACATGAAATAACATTTTGACGAGCCAACAAAGGGGGGGGGGGGCAACCAACCTCTGAAATGAACATTTTTAACTGTAAAAAGTTAATGTTGGAAAATAAGTTGATGGTGCCACCCCCCCCCCACCCCCCCCCCCCCGATGATACGTCGTACATACAATACAAAGTATGCTTGAGCATAAAGAAAAGTTAACATATAGGGAACCCAACGCAATCCTTGTAATATTGGCCTCTCTTGGTCTTTGAATAACATTTTATGTTAATATGCCACCCTTACACTAGGATATCTAGAGGAGAGGATGTATGAAAAAACTACTCAGTACTTTGACCAACAGACTTCAGAAAATATATAGAACAATTGGAAAAGATACCTTGACGATTGTTTTATCATTTGGAATGACAGCGATGCGAATCTAGCAGTTTACCTAAATATTATAAACGATCTAGATCCTGACATCAACTTCACAATGGACGAAAGTTTACAAAGCATTCCGTTTTTGGACGTCCTTATAGCAAAGCATGGAGAATGTATTTCGACAGACATATACTACAAACCGACAGACACACATCAATATCTCCATTTCAGTTCCTGTCATCCAAGTCATACGAAACGTTCAATCCCTTACAATTTAGCTAGAAGAATCTGCACTATTGTTAGCGACAAGAAAAAAAGAGATGAACGTCTGAATGAATTAAAAAAATATCTGCTTGAACAATGCTATCCTCTTGGAATCATTGAGGACGGAATCAGAAAGGCTATAGAAATCGACAGAGATAAACTTATTAATTCTTCAAAAAGTGACACATCAGATTCTGCAATATTACCGCTTGTAACTACATACAATCCAAAGAACAGGAATATAACCTCTACAGTGCGTCACCTCAACAACATTCTACAGACGGATGAGAAAATGTCCAAAGTACTGGAAAAATATAAATTCATCAACAGTAAAAGACAACCTAAAAACCTCCGAAGAATATTGTGTAAATCTACATTTCACCAACGGAATTTGTATGTGGTCAATAAATGCTCTGATTCACGTTGTGGAACCTGCCAGTATATTAAAGAGGGAAGTACTTTTACACTCGGAAATAAAGAATTTACTATCAATGCAGATATGACCTGTGCATCTAAAAACGTTATTTATTGTATAACATGCACTGGATGCGGACAATTATACATAGGAGAAACGGGGACCACACTACGCACTCGTATACGCATACATAGACAACATATCAACCAACCCGAGTACAGAAAAATAAAACTCAGTGAACATCTTGCTGTTTGTGGACAGGGACAATTCTCAGTTTATCCCTTTTATAAACTCAAAACAGAAAATCTTTTAGAAAGACGGGAAAAAGAAAAACATTTCATCAAGATTTTTAAACCGTCCTTAAATAGTTTAATATAGACTGTTTCATGACTTTATTATTTATTACGCTATTAATGAACAAAGTAATTTTACTTAGACTCTATAATTGTTTCCTCTATAAGCATTGTGACGTCATTGCATTGTTGTTGACGTTATCATCAGGTAGCGTTATAACGTCACATGTTTGAATTGTTTTGAATTGTAAAACGTCTGAAGAAGTATAATGAAAGCGCTTACGTTTTACTAACATTGTTGCCTTGTTATTTTTAATTTTCATATATATATATATATATATATATATATATATATATATATATATATATATATATATATATATATACTAGATGAAATCCCGCGCAAGCGCGGGGAATTGAATTTATACCACTACCGACAGAAAAAATCCAATAATATATATATTGTAGTTTCTACTGACAGCCTACAGGCTTATAGCAGGAAGAAATACTCTGTTCAAAATCCCGCATGAAGTAGAAGTACGTCTCAACCCCCACCCCCCATTGCAAAACTTAAATAACAATTTCATTAATTGACGTTTATTGTGAAACCTGTTATATACTATGCTATGGATATTGTATATACTTTGTTATGGATATTGTACTTCAGATACTCTTACTTCATTTCCGTCAAGAAATGCACATTTTACTGAGAAATTGATTTTTTTTTTGGTAAAATTCACAGGTACTTGGGTCTTCGTTTATAAATAATTATGTATGTACCTTATTGATATGTAAAAACTGTACCTTGCCTCTTTTTTTTTTTTACATATCAGTAAGGTACATACATATTTATAATCTAAGACCCAAGTACATGTGTAAAAATCAGCTTTTATATAACGCCCTATGAATGCATTGGCGGATTTAGAGGGGGCACCAGCCCCCCTCCCATTTTGTGTCCAAAATACACATAAAATTTAATAAATATGTGTCTGTGGGCCCCTACCCCAACCCCAAACTGCCTCCCCCCCCCTTTTAAAAATTCCTAGATCCGCCACTGGAATAGGCCGAGTATTTGATACAAAAGACTGTTTTTAGAAAAAAAAAACAACCCTGAAATGTATTGATTAGAGTACAAAAGTACAAAATTTTACAGCATAATTGTATTTGAACAATGCCTTGTTCGTTAATTTTCTCTTTTCATGTAAGCAGGTTTATTGCGAATTAAGTCCAAATTGTACTTCGGGTTCGTTGCCACGATGCTCTCAGTGAGGAATATATACAAATTTTACCGATAGATTTATTAGGAAAACCCACTAAATATTTGTAATTATAGTCTTTCGATGTATAAATATATTCACAACTTACAGTATTATCAATGATTTACCATTATTTCAATGACCATTCACACAAGTTTTTTTTTTTTTTTTTTTTTTTTTTTTTTTTTTTTTTTTTTTTTTTTTTTTTTAATGTTAAAGCAGCTATTTTCTTTTTAACATCGGGCTCGATGCTACATAATGTTCTAGAAGCTTCCGTCAATTACGATCGGTGAATGACAAAAATAATTTGCACATTTTCCTTTTTAATCGGTTATCACAACTTATTTCTTTTATATCATTTAAATCAAGTTTTGATTGAATAATTCAGTAATGACGTTTAATGCCAGTTTCGTTAAAAATTGCCAGTAACTTAGATCCGCCAACCGGAAACGCCACCGTACTCACGTTTTTTGCTATTTCATGGCTGTTTATAGAAAATAAAAGTAGACTTTTAATTTAATGTACGATACTTACGATGCAAGTGAAATCTAAATATAGTTTACGGACATCATCTTGTATCATGTGTATTCTTAGAGGAGTAAGTAAGAACTCTAGTACACCCGTTTCGGAGTTTATTTGCAAAATTTATTAATTTATAAGTATAGATATATATATATATATATATATATATATATATATATATATATATATATATATATATATAAGGTATTTTTGTTTCATTTTTCTATTATTCTATTGTTTCTTTTTCACTTTTATTAGGGTCTTCCGTCTCCAACGGAAGACCCTTCTATTATTGTATTGTTTCTTTTTCACTTTTATTATTATTATTATTATTATTATTCCACTTTTTCTTTACAATTTTTGTGCAGAAGATATCTCGCAAACGGTTCGATCGATTTTCATGAAATTTTCAGGGGTAATGCCTTTTGATCTGAAGATGATCCTTTTTTGTTCAAATCCTTAAAATTCACTTCCGGTCGGAAGTTATCGCCCTTTAATCGATTTTCAGATAACCATTTTGTCGACACAAAAACTAAAAAACGGCAAAAGCTAGAGCGCTGAAATTTTCAGCGATTATAGACGACATGTTGAAGTTTTGCACCTGGGTTTTCAAATTTTCCGGAAGTACCTAGTATGGAAGCTCGGTAGGGGTCGAAATTTAGGACATGAATCAGGAGTGAATTTTCGAGACATTTTTTATCGTATCTCTAAAACTATGGAGATTTTCTAAAATCAATTTGAATAGAAATTGTGTAGAATTACAAGATCTTTTATATGATATCAAAGAAAAAGGGCTGACTCATCACATTAGGGGCCGAGAGGGGCCGAAAGTCTTTAGTCAATAGCTCTTTAACGATCAAAATTTTGTAATGCATCACTGAAGCAAAAATGTTTATCTCAACAATTTACAACTATATATTATGATATTCACATCATATGTTACATAATTAGGGGCCATAAGGGGCCAGAATGCTAAATCTTTGACGCTTTATATCTCAAAAGTGGGAAATAATTTGATAAGCAATATTGAACAAAAGATGTTTAAATTAATGTACTAAATAATATGCAACCTTTCATTTTTTGCTTAACGTCCCCTTTAAGGAGTTGAAGGGCCGGCCCCTAAATACTTCTTTTGCAAATATCTCAGAAACGAAAATGAATTTCTGACTAGTTGTTGAACAAAAAGTGTCCAAAATCATGAGAACTTTAAAATGATATGAAGAAAAAGGGGCTGGACCCTCACAATAGGGGCCGAGAGGGGCCGAAAGTCTTTAATCAATAACTCTTTAACGATCAATATTTTGAAATGCATTACTGAAGCAAAAATGTTTATCTCAACAATTTACAACTACATTTTATGATATTCATATCATATGTTACATAATTAGGGGCCATAAGGGGCCAGAATGCTAAATCTTTGACGCTTTATATCTCAAAAGTGGGAAATAATTTGATAAGCAATATTGAACAAAAGATGTTCAAAATAAGGTTTTAAACAATATGTAACCTTTTCATTTCTGCTAAACGCCCCCATTAAGGAGTTGAAGGGCCGG